CAATACCTCTTCATTTCTAACCTTTTCTACCCACGATATCCTCATCATCCGCCTATAACACCACATTTCGAACGCTTCTAACCTTTTCTTTTCCGCCGCTCCCACTGTCCATGTTTCGCACCCGTACAACGCCGTGCTCCAAACATACACCTTTAACAACCTTTTTCGAATTTCTAAATTAACCGTTCGCGAGCATAGAAGAGACTTCTTTTTATTAAAGGCGACACGACCCTGCGCTATCCTCTGCTTTATATCCCTACTACTCCTTCCATCCTCACTTATCTGACTTCCTAGGTATCTAGAATCAGCCACTTCTTCTAATTTTTCGTCTCCTATCTTTATATTCGCTCTTTCAGGAAACAAAAGCATCAAATGAAAAGGATATAGACGAGAAAGAAGAAGAGTAAAACTCACAGAAGATACAGAAATTACGCCTGATGAGATAAAGATGGTTACAAAAAAATCATAAAAAAAAGCAGCAGAAGATGGCATAAAAAACGGAGAAGCACAATTTACAAGAAATAAAACAAAGACGATCCAAAAAATTACAGAAGCTTCACCCTCATGAAATCAACGAATAAGAAATACACACACATCCTTGAAAACAGGATAAGTGCAGAAGAAGAAAAGATAAATATTAGAAATTTCTTATGCACACCAAAGGGAAATTATTATTTTATTAAAAAAAATGTAGTGATCAATAATGATTTTGAAAGGAAGTTTTTAACTTGAATTGTCAAATTAAATTAAAAAGTTTCAGGATAAAGCAAAAAAACTAGTACATAACTGGTGGCATTTAGAAGGTTTGTGTTAGGAAAGTTTGACTGTGCCTAAAAATCCACTAATTAAAACTAACTAAACGCTTCTGGAAGGTTTCTATTTTTGTAGAGGTGAATAAATTGGTCCTGTCAAAAGCACTCATACCCGGCAATGATCCCTGACCGATTATCGTTTTTAAGGACAAATCAATGACCAAAGTAACGATACGATGCCAGACGCGACCATTTTTGTTGCTAACTTATGCAAGATTAGCAGGCTTTAACGAATTAACCGATTGCAGTAAAGTACTGGCAAAAAAAAATGGACCGAAAGTTTAAAATGTAAAAAAAAAATTCTATAGCATTCTCGGTTTTATCAGAAGGACCCCTCATTATTATCATAAGGTCGTCAGTCCCAAAACTGTTTCGAAACGCACCTCTATTCCTTCCTATCCTAAGCTAATTTTCGCATTTCCCTAAAACTAGAACAAGCCAAATCCTCAACTGTTTGTGAACAGTAATCTAACTTGGGTCTACCTCTACCCCTTTTAACTCCGGTTTCTGCCTCTAACATGTCTCTGACTAGACCTTCATGCCTTCCCTACTTTTTTTTTGGCTTCTATAGAATCTTCTGTTCTCCTATTCTTTCTAATACCTCTTCAAAAACATAAAAAAAACAATTTTTAAAGTTTACAATCGAGCCGTTTTCGCAATGCTGGAAGGATGTTGTACATTCTGTCATTAATAGTTAAGGATGAGAAATAGGAAAATACCACAAAGGACGTGGTGAACGCCATCTGTAATACGATGCTACATTTTAGGATTATGTGTATGCTCCAACAAGATCTATTTAAAAATATGCATATCTACTTGCTGAAACGAATCCCGGCGTAACTCACCTCAATGTGATAGGCACGTTACCATAATCGAATAAAATAATTCGAAGTGGTCTGTATTCTGTCGAAACTGCCAGACGCGGATCGCGATTTCGTTCTTTTTGGATCTGATCAGCGCGTCGCAGGCAGCTCCGACAGAACACAGACCAACCTTTACCTGCTGTCTTAACAGCGTGTTTTAGAAAATATCACAAATGACGTGGTGACGCGCTGATGAGATCCAAAATGATCGAAATCGCGATCCGCGTCTGGCAGTTTCGATAGAATACAGACCACTTCGAATTATTTTATTCGATGAGAAATGGTTTAATAATTTTGGGGAAATTTAACATTATTGTGAAAATTCATTTTCCGTTTATAGCAATTAGAAATTGCTTCAACTTAGTGAGGAAAAATTTGTTGCTATTGTCACATCCTCGCTGGGAAAGGCCAAAATTAGTTTATGAAGGAGTGAAGATGCGTGTCCAACCAGTCTTCGGATTGACCCTATGATAAAGATCAGTAGATACATTTATTCCTAACGTTAGTGTCGTCAATTTTGTTGTTCCTCAAAAAAACAAAAAAAGTTAAAAATAAAAGCGGGGGATATAACGCAATTTTATGAAGCGTATCAGCGCAGCGGTTAAAAAAACATCAGGGTGCAAAGTGGGTGACTGCTGAATATTGAGCGCAATCGTTTCAGTTTTTAGTGCTCCGGGGGTGTCGAATGTGTACACCGGAAAAGCCCACAATGACCGAGTGAATCTCATTTGGCAACGACCTACCGATTATAAATCATTCGACGAATACGCATTATTTGGCGAAACAACTATGCAGTGGTTTCTGTCCGCAGTAATAATTTTGTAAATCTACATTCCACCGAATAGCAGAGCGAACGATTTACTGGATTTTTACAAGCTTGCGTTGATGCAAAATCACGTAGTAATTCAGTAGATAAATAGAAACAAAGAAACGAGAAACGTAACAAAAACTACAACACGCTTCGGTTGATTCAGTGGTGTAGCTAGGATTTGTTAATGGAAAGGGTTAAGGTATATTAAAATGTGCCGAAAACAATACTTCATCAATTAAGAACAAATTAAATATGCATTTATAATTAGAGATACACCTAGAGATGTGCAAAATGGTTTTTTAAAAGTATTTAAATACAAAATGCAAATACTTTTTTCATTTGTTATTTCAAATGTGAAATACAAAATAGATTTCCAACAAGAACAATAACGCCCCCAGGGAACGTTAGAACCTTCCTGGGGGGCGCTGGCCATTCCAGAGACAATTGAAGTACCTTGGGGTAATCAAGAAGGACGCCTTTAGCATACCTATCTATTTAGGAAGATAATATAATTTTATACATAGTTTCCCGTTTTGCCTTTCTTTCCTGTGTTTATCCTTATCCTAACTAATNCCAACTTTTACCTGCTGTCTTAACAGCGCGTTTTAGAAAATATCACGTTGAGGTTGGCTACGCCGGGATTCGTTTTCAGCAAGTAGATATCCACACAAGTGGACCTTGTTGGAGTATATGTAATCCTAAAATGTAGCATCGTGATACAGATGGCGTTTACTGCGCCATTGGTAGTATTTTCTACATTAACTTCATCATTATCATAAGGTTGTCAGTCCTAAGACTGGTTGGACCTCCACCTTTTCCTGTCCTGAGCTAAATTTTGCATTTCCCTAAAACTAGAATAACCCACATCCTTAATTATTTGCAAACAGTAATCTAATCTAGGTCTACCTGTACCCCTCCTAACTCCTGTTTCTGCCACTAATATACCTCTGATTATACCTTCATGCCTGAGAAGGTGTCCTACCAACCTACTTCGCCTTTTTTTATTGACTTCCATAGAGTTCTCTGTTCTCCTACTCTTTCTAATACCTCTTCATTTCTAACCTTGTTTATCCACGTTATCCTCATCATTCGCCTATAACACCACATTTCGAAGGCTTCTAACTTTTTGTTTTCCGCCGCTCCCACTGTCCATGTTTCGCAGCCGTACAACGCCGCGCTCTGAACATATACCTTTAACAATCCTTTTCGAATTTCTAAATTTACCGTTCGCGAGCATAAAAGAGACTTCCGTTTATTAAAGGCGATACGACTCTGCGCAATCCTCTGCTTTATATCCCTACTACTCCTTCCGTCTTGACTTATCTGACTTCCTAAATTTCTAAAATCAGCCACTTCTTCTAATTTTTCGTCTCCTATCTGTATATTCACTCTTTTCCTACTTTTTCTTCCCTTGTATACCAGTATTTTAGTTTTCTACATTTACTTAAGTACAAAATATTTTTTAAGAAAACCTATCAGGCATTTGCTTATTTTTTAAATATTGAAGTTTTTTTGGACTAATACTGGTGTTTGCACTATATCACTAAGCGATAATGGACTTTTTAGGGAAAATTTACCCTATTGCACATCATAATATATTCATTTAAACTTGATAATTAATAGATTTTAAACCATGCAAATTCATATGAGAGGTATAGTGTTTCAATGAAAAATTTTCATAAAATTGGTTTTCATCCATTTTACTTATTTCACCTGACAATGAACAATAAAATTTTAGTACGGTATTTAATGTCTGCTAAAAATAATAATCAAAATTTACTGGGCGTTAAAACGTCGTAAATATGGATTTTTGACTTTTATGGCGCTCATCTCTGAATTATAAAATATAGATTGTGACGTTTATTCGATTTCCATAAAAAAAAGTAAAAACTGTAATGAATGAATTTCTGTTTAGTAGGTAATCCTAACCAATATTATAAATGCGAATATGTTTGTCTTTTATTTGTTTATTCATTTGTTTGCTACGGTTCCACGATTCTTGATCCTTCGACAAAATATCCCCGCCAAAATATCCCCGACAGAATATCCCCAGACAAAACATCCTTGGACAAAATATACCCAAGACAAAACCCTAACCTAACCTAAGACATAATTAAAACGGAATTTATTATTCTACCAACAGATGTCACACAAATATTCATTTCAGGAATTTTTTGCTTTGGGAATATTTTGTCGGAGGATGAAGACGCCTGTTACCGTTTGCTACGTGTTCACGCCTTAATCATTCAACTGATCATTATGAACTATTGTACACACATTGTTAGCAGTACAGAAAAGGACATAGGGTATTTTTTATCCAGAAAAAAAAATATTGTTCCCGATTAGTTTTATGGGATCGCCGATGATTTTTGACACGTATTTAAGACGTCAAAGCGAGCAAAGTCGCGGGTAATTCATAAAATATATAATTATCCTGTTTTAAGAATTTTAGCTTGATGTTTTTTACATAAAAGAATAGAAATTAATGATATTTTGTTTTTTATGTTGTTTCAGAATAAAATGAAAATTTGAAGTTACAATGGAGGTTCTTCTGGTTCTTCAACTGGTTCTTTTCTTTGGGTTAAGCCGTTGTGAAGATTGCTCAAAGTAAGTTGATAGTAAGAAAAGAATAGATAGTACCTAAACAACAATAAAAAACAGTTTTGCAAAAATTTATCGAAATGGTATGTGCGCATGATGTACGAGAGGGTAGTGTCACCTGCTGGACAGCGCTCTTTTCTAACGAGACCTTTAATATCAGTAGAATAATTGAAAATCTCATGGGTGTTTTTGTATACGTCGGAGGCGGAACTTATTGCATTCGCAATGTCCTCAGCTATACAACTAGGAATTAAGTTCCAAATCCTAACTAATATTAATAATAGGAATATTTGCTTGTTTGTTTATTACGATCTTACATCTTAGTTAATCAACCATTCATCATTCATCATTAAATTCTGTGCACACATTAGCAAGGCTACAGAAAACTGCATCGGTTACTCACTTAAACCGACAAGTTCGACCATGTTGAATGTTCAGTTAATTTTTGATTTTCTTGCACGTGTTTTGGCTCGTTAATGATTTCTGCCTTTATGAAAAACAAAATTAAGTGTGTGGACGTATTCCGAATGTTGACTGTGACATATGGTGAAGCTACTTTGGACCGAAGCAACGTTTATCGGTGGTCTGAGAGGGTCGGGAAAGTGTGAACGACGAAGAGCGTGCCGGACGCCTGAACACGTCAACAACAGACGAAAACATTGATGAAGTGAAGAAAATTGTATTAACCAATCGTCGAAAATTGCACAATTTCGACCAAAAACAGCATCGCATTAACATTGCTAAGGAGCTGTTGGATTCTGTCCAAGACGACTCAAATTTGCTCCAGAGGGTCATAACTGGTGACAAATCATGGATATGTGTTATGACGTGGAAACCAAAGCTCAATCATCCCAACGGAAGCTGCCGCACGAACCAATACCGAAAAAAGCCCGCCAAGTTAGGTCGAATGTGACTTACAGTTTTCTTCGATTGCAGGGGCGCGGTGCATCATGAGTTCTTGCCATAGGGTAGAACGGTTAATAAGGAATATTACCTGTAAGTTATGCGCAGCTTGCGAGAAGCAATCCGCTGCAAACACCCGGATTTGTGGAAGAACAAAAATTGGCTTTTGTACCATGATAATGCCCCTGCTCTCCCAGCTCTGCTTGTGCGCGAATTTTTGGCCAAAAACAACACACTAATAATTCTGCCGCCACAGTATTCCCCACATCTGGCCCTCTATGACATTTTCTTGTTCCCGAAACTGAAGAGGCCCATGAAAGGACGACGCTACGCTACGATTGAGGACAGCATCGAAGGAGGAGTTAAACAAGATCACAAAAAACGATTTGAAATGCTTCGAGGATTGTAAAAAACGTTGGCATCAGTGTATAATATCTGATGGGGATTAATTTGAATGAGACAAAGTAGGTATTCATGAATAAATGAATAATTTTCAAAAACACACGAAATTCGCGATACTTTTTGAACAGACCTCGTATAAACACTACTATTTCCTAAAAAACATATTGTACTATTGGGATCCGTCAAATGGGAGGAGCCTAAAAACATGGCGCCGATTAGGGAAAATTTATCGTAGTTCCTATAGTGTACCGTGCAATTTCCAAGTTTTTAAATTACGATAAAATGATAAGTATTAACACAATATGTGATTGGGCTGACACAAAGCCTCGGAAAGGAAATTTCGTTGAAGGTGAGCGTGTTTTTAATGCCAATCACATTATAAAATTCGGAAATAACAAATCCGGAAGCTAGCCTTCAAATTCCGTCAAGTTTACTGCCTACTTTTTACAAACTTCGGATTTAAAAAGTGATTCACGTTATATAATTGGTGAGGTGATTCTGGGTGATTTAAGCAATATCATATCAATGACTTGCACGTGCAAAGCCGATTTAAGAGAACGTTGCAAACACATTATTGCAACTTTGTTGTATTGCAGCAGGTAGGTTCTTAACCTCAAAATACTTATATCGTATCATTAGAATTGTGTTAAATCAATTACACAGGAATAAATAATTTCTCACTTTATAATTTTAGTATGATTCTAGTTTTAAATATTAAGGTTATGGCTGATGGTAAATACTTGCTGAAATATAATCATGTGCATTAAAATGACGTGAACAAATTTTTATTCCGGAATTCACTTCTTTGATACCTACTGCTTTCATCCAAGCTTCTATTAGTTTACTTTTTTCTCTAATTTTCCGAATATATTTTTTACATATATAAAACGGTTAGTTTTTATTGGAAAGTAGTTAATGTAGGTGAAGAGTGAAGATCTATGTCTGAAGTGCTATTGCAGCTTTTCACTGAACATATTAACTTTTTATTTGATTTAACTTTAGAAGAAAACTTCGTCGACTCCATCATCAAAAAAATTTTTACTTTTTTAACGTGTTTTATTATTTTAATAAACAATTTTACAATTTGCGTGCACAGTTCCTATGTAAATTTTTCCCTCATTCTAGTTATAAATTTTGCCACCAGATGGTGTATTCCCATTTGACGGATCCCAATAACAAAATGTTTTCGATATAAATACATTCTATGTATATTTGAATAGAGGAAAAGTACCTTATCATTCCGTTATCAACAAGTGTAGGTATTCTTAGGTTCATCATTTCTGTCGTTCAGTTGCCAATTGTTAAGTGGAAGCAGTCAGTTGTTTTCCCTTATTTACATAATATCTGTGTATGCGGTAAGCTTGCACTTATACCGTTTACAATGGCAGTAAAAGCTTTACGTGAGTGTATTCAAACCGGTCTCTGATTTTAAAAGCTTTCCGTACAGCGGAGATCGCTTGCATCATGAGATTATGTGAAGTTTGTTCAAAAGCCAGTAAATTAGTCAGTAAATAAACCGGAAGCTTTCGCAGGTAATTTGTACAGTTGAATTAGCTCACGTGCTTATTACGCTATATTCCATATTAGAGTTACATGAACAAAACACGTTCTACGTAAATATTTAATGTAATACCAACTGTTTCAGTTTAATTTTAATATTTTGTTTTATCATTAGATCGAGATAGATTTGCTTATCATTATTCAACTTATTTTATTTTGTTATATTTGAAATTTAAGTAAAACAAAAATACTGGTATGCAAGGAAGAAGAAGTAGGGAAAGAGCGAACATAAAGATAGGAGACGAAAGATTAGAAGAAGTGGCTGATTTTAGATATTTAGGAAGTCAGGTAAGTCAGGACGGAAGGAGTAGTAGGGATATAAAGCAGAGGATAGCGTAGGGTCGAGTCGCTTTCAATAAAAAGGAGTCACTTCTATGTTCGCGAACGGTGTATATTTTGAGCGCGGTGTTGTACGGATGCAAAATATGGATAGTGGGCGCAGGAAGAAAGAAAAGGTTAGAAGCGTTCCAAATGTGGCGAATTATGAGGATACCATGGATATAGAAGGTCAGAAGGTATAGAAGGTTAGAAATGAAGAGGTATCAGAAAGAATAGGAGAACAGAGAATTCAATGGAAGTCAGTAAGAAGTAGGCGAGATAGGTTGGTGGGACACCTTCTCAGGTATGAAGGTCTCTTCAGAGATACCTATATTGTAGGCAGAAACACAAAATAGTTGTAATTCCTTATTTCATAGTTAATAATTCACATAGAACAAACAAAGTAGCTCAAACCCCAACACTAAAACACAACACTGTAGTTGTCCGAAGCAATTTTCGGTAACAAGGTTACCTTCTTCAGGGACAGAGAACTGTTCACTTCAGTCATTTAAAAAATGTATTATTATAAAAATTAAACCTAATTTTTTGCGTGTCTCTGCAGTTAAAGAGCTATCAGTGATTGAGAACCCTTGCCAGGTTGATGGACGCGTTAACTTATTGACCTTCGTTAGCGCACGAAACACAGGTACCTACTCATGACCTTCGTAGCAACTGGTACGCAGACAGGCCAATTGCATATGTTTTACACTGATACCGCGTTACACAATTACGCTAGGTAGTCCTGGTCATTATTGCCGGGACAGTTGGGGCTTTCGGTAAGGTTATTATCCTCATATTTATGTACATTACTGGGTGGTGAGAGATGGCTGATAAGCTCTTTTATGTAGCTTCTTCCACCACAATTTTTGCCGGAATACTGACCAGACAGCGTATACGTTGAAGGTTAAATATAAAGTTTGATTGTATTTTACCTCCAACTTGGGTTTAATTTCTACAATAATATCTTACAGGAAAGGAAGAAGAAAAGAAAAATTCTATAAGTTTTGTGAATGATCTTAATTTTAAAGTTGCAGCTTATATTTCACAGCCTGTGAAAGGAAATCTAACTTTCCATTATCAATTCCTCACTTTTAAAGGTGTTCTAGAGCTAATCCAAAGCAAAGCCGGCTTTTTAGTAGTTCACTGTGCACTGTGACAATCATGCGAACACATAAGATTTTACCCATTCAAATTCCCCTTCCAAAAATCACCCAACTCTCCTAAGGAAGTTTTCGCTTCAATAATACTCGTATATGTTTGTTGCTGTTTTGCTTAAAATGTTCAAAGTAATTTTGAACGGCACAACGGTAGTGGATGTGTACATTGGAGTAGGTCATGTGTAGCAACATTAATTTGCTTTGATGCTAACTTCTCGCACCGCACGCCGGTTCAGTGATGAACATGATATTATACGCCCATTGTACAACATGAAATAAAAAAGATATCAATTTGCCATCTTTTCACACATTAATGATCTCTTTTATTTCATGGCACTGAACTAGGTCAAACCAGATCGGGCCCAGTTTTCCAACGACGCGGTACATGGAAAAAATATTTCTCTTCAAAATAACAACACAGTGCATCCGGTGAACTTGTTTGACGCATTTTTTTCTAATGGATAACGACAACAAAGCAAAATCAAAGGACGTGAAATAGAGTGAAGATATACGACTACTGTCAAAAGAAATAAGTGAACAGAACGTATTCGTTTTCCAGTATACTCCTGGGATTTCAACTTCTGTTTTCCCACACAATAATCAGTTTTAAATAATATACCTCCCGTCTACAACGTCCATGTACCTATTGCTCGTTTCAGGAAGTTA